TTGGCCGCATAAAAACTAGATCCTTTACTTTAATGCAGTAAAACATGAATTTCAACTAAAAAAAGTTGCTAGTATATTTGAGTTCAAAATTGAAATTTTCATGCGCCTGCAGACAAATCAAGTTTGAGTGTTAATGAGATTCATTAGCCTGTTATTCCCTCGTACCATCTAGGTGGGGTTCTAAAATTGCCCCTAATACTAGCATCTTCAAAATAAGAGAAATACATTTAAAAGATATTCAAAATTTTGAGATAGGAGTTATCAGACATCACTGTCAAAATGGCTGCAACCTTAAACACCCAAAGTAAGGTGCACATTCAAAATTTACCATAAGATGTAATTTTGATGTCCAAAATTCTTAAGATGGCCTAAGAATTTACTTTCATCTTTGATTATAAAATTTTAAATTTAAAAAAATGGTTCAAATCAAATAGATTTATAAACACATGAAAATCTTAAAAATGGTAGGGATAATGTGTTGCAAGATACACTATTTTAAGGACTAAAAAAAATATTTTTGTTTTTGTTTTTGTTTCATATCCATACATCTTGATATCGAAATGATCAATTAGAGGGTTTTTCGACGTTCAAAGAGCCTTTTTCAGTGGATTTTTAAGGTAATTCTACAGTTTATGGTTGCAACCTGATATAAACGTTTCATTAGAATTAATAACCCATCAAATTACAAAAGTTAATGTTCGAATAAGTTGTGGTGCGTATTATTTATCAGAAAATTATTAATTTCTATTTAAATAATTATTTTAATAAGTAACTTAATCGTTAATTAAGAGTAAATTTGATATTTTACCTAGCACAATAGTATTTTGAAATAGAATTTTTTTTATAGAATACCATTATCCTTTAGTAAAAATTTCAACTTTACCTTTTATAAATATGACAAAAATACCCATCGTCTAAATATCAAGCCGAGACTTAAGTTCCGAACTAATCTTAAACAAGTGTAGTATTAATAAGGGAAATTATCAGAAATATACCTTCCCGTTTAATTAGAAAAAAATTCTCAACTTTCATAAACCTCAATTTTGGCATTTTTACCAAAATAGCATTCATGGTAGTCGTATTACCATAATGACTACGTATTACGGTACTTTAAGTACCGTAATAACTAGGTTAAGCATTACGGTACTGCAAGTACCGTAATGACTAGGCTAAACATTAAAGACTGTAATTCTCATTGAGGTCTCTTTCTCATTCATTTGCCACATCTGAGCATGACGATCTTTAAAGTACTGTAATGCTTTACCTGGTCATTACGGTACTTAAAGTATCGAAATTCTTGGCCTGGTCATTACAGTACTTAAAGTACCGAAATTCTTAGCCTGGTCATTATAGTATTAAAAGTATTGTAATGCTTAACCTGGTCATTACGGTGCTTAAAGTACCATAATGCGGTAGTCATTACGATAATACAATTACCATAAAGGTCATTTTGGTATTAAAAAAATCAAAATTTAAGAAAAAAAGTGTGGACGAAGTTTATAAAAATTGAGGTATTTTTCCCAATTAGGCCAAAATTAAGATATATTTTTAATAATTTCCCTATTAATAATAGACATCCTTATTTATATTTATTTATTTTTATATCATTACAAATTTATAACATATTATTACTACTAGTAGCCTCCACCTGCATTGTAGTGTTGAAATGTCAAGCATGTAATATTTTTGTTAATGATAAATTTTGTAAGGAAAATAAATTTATAAATCAAAATGATTCATTATCACCACGTTAATTATTATCGATAAATATTATTATTTGATATAAAATCTACATATATATTTTAAAAGTTTTATTTATTATCAATAAATTTATGTAATTATCATCAATTGATACAATGTAATTATCCAAATCTCCACTAATGAAATTACAATAAATAATTTTAATAATAACAAATTTTAAAATAAATAATAACTATTGTAAATTTTTAATAACTTTAAATTTATTCATATCAATATCTATAATCATGTTAATTATTATGAATATAAGTTTTTATAATAGTATATTATGTTTATTAATTATAAGCACAATATAATAATATATTGTGTTTATTAATTATAAGGCATGCATTAATTATATATAATTCGTTATTACTATGAACGACGCTATTACATTAATTTATGTAAAAGTCCTTATACGATTATAATTAATTGATATTATCAAATTGATATTATGTTAAGCGATAAATTGAATTTTATAATTGTCATAATTGTATTCAAACTAAACCTATGAAAATAGATACAATACTAAAAATATCATATTAATATTGTACTAATCGATTAATTAAATATATAATTGTCATAACTGTATACAAAACTATATAGATACAACAATAAAAACATCATATTAATATTATACTAATGGATTAATTAAAATATATAATTGGATACAAAACTATAGTTATGAAAATGGTAGATACAACAATAAAAAAAAATTTATTATCATTATTTAAATTATTGAACCACAATTACGCAAACCAAATGATATTTTTCTTTATTTCTGAATTACTAATAAACTAAGGAAAAAGTTTACACGAGGCTCTAAACAATCAAATTAGAGCCCACCTCAAAAACTTCACTAGAAAATGTTCTTTTGATGTTCAAATATCTTCAAATTGATCATCACAGCATTAAGATGCATAGACATGAGAAAAAAAATGGATTTCAAGTTTTGAAAATAGTAACTTATTGTAATGCATTTTTTGACTTTCAACTTTCAAGATTTTCAAGTTTCCATAAATCTGGTTGATCTACACTATTTTTGAAGCTTTAATTTTTATAACTAAAGATGAAAATATATTTTAAGACAATCACAAAGATTTTCAATATTAAAACCACATTTCTCGACCCTATTTGAAGGTGTGCTCTACTTTGATTGTTTAGAGCCTTGGCTCCATACAAACCGCAACTATAAATTAAATTTATGAATTTAACAAATAAAAATATAATTAGGTTAAATAGAAAATGGCAGGAATAAATATAATACCAAACTACAACAAATAAAAGAAACTTATATTTTCCCCTTATCTCGTAATGGTGTTTAAATTTTGATAGTGTCCAAGGATCTATAATTAACTAGTATATTTGATAAAAATCAGAAATATGGCAGACAAAATGACAATATTTGAATAAGATAAAATAAGATAGAAAATACACACAGAGGGACTAGAGGGGAAAGGGGAAAAAATGATGTGAGAAAATTTAGAAAGAGAGAGAGGGTGCGTGGAAAGAGAGAGAGAGAGAAAAGGAGGAGCGGGAGAGAAATTTAAAGAGATATAAAAAGAAATATTTAAGGAGAGAGGGATGAGTGAAAGGAGAGAGAAATGAGAGAAGAGAGAAATGAGAGAAGAGAGATTCTACATGAGATATTTAATTTAAAAAGAGAGATTATTGGAGAGATTTAATCATTTGAAGAGGTGGGGAGCCTTGGAATCTTTTGAAAAGAGAACAGTTTTTTAGAAAGAGAAAATAAGGAAATATAAGGCATGGAATGAATATTTTCCATATTATTCATGTTCTCACATTAAGGAATGAAAATTTTTCATATTACTCACAATCTCAAACTAAGGAAAGTAAATGTGCCCATCAATTGAAAAGTATTGCTTCTACAGGAGCATATTGTTCATCTACTCCCTCATTTAAAACATCTATTTAGATGGATTTTTTTGGTCTAAAATTACACCATATAAGAATTGCAAGATGATTATTTTCAAAAGAAAAATTTTGAATTTGAAGTTTTGTGATACTTAGATCTAGCCTTTCAAATTTTGAATTTTTTAAGTACATAGAGAGCTGATTTAGGAAATTCTTTTTGTTGAGGTTATTCTTTAGGTTGTAGATATTATATCTCCAAGTTTTGAGATCCAAACAATCCCTAACATGTATTCTACCTGAGGGAGTAAATAGATAGTATGCTCCTAACATAGTAGTAAATCTAGGTACAAGGAATAGCTATGATTTTAGAATTGGACTCGGTGGTGATGGTAGTACCAACGTGCCCTAGTTGGTCACTGAAGTATTCAAAAATATGATTATTGTTCTCATTTGATAAGTCAAAATTTGTGGCACCGCGATGCATGCAGTTTAAAATAGGATGCAGTTTCTATAAGGCTTAGACTCTATGAAAATAAAGTAAAGCCTCACTTTGAATTCTCGTCTGGAGATCACTTTGGCTCCATAATGGCTCTAAAATAAATTTTCAATACCGACTATAAAATTTGAAGCTAAAAAATGATACAGATCTTGCAATATGTGAATAGTTTTATTTAGGATGAAATAAAGGTTCTAAATAATGTGTTACAATATACACTATTTTCAGGGCTTAAAATCCAATTATTATTTTTCTTTCACAACTATAATGGTCAAGACTGAGATGTTTGAAGGTTTTCGATCCTAAAACTACAATATTCTATGAGGTTTAAGGTGAGGCTTTACTTAAAGTTGCAGCCTTATCAAAACCTTTTTTTTTTATAAAGGGTGAGGTTTGTATAAGGTGTCCACCTTAAGCAATCACGATAAGGTGCGCCTCAAAATCTCACTATAAGATGTATTTTAGGTGCCGAAACTCTTATGATCACTCTAAAATGTATTTTCAGCCCATATTATAAAATTGAAAACTCAAAAAATAGTGCAGATTTAGCAAATCCATAAACACTTAATTATCTTGACAATAAACGGTCTAAGATAATACATTACAAGATACACTATTATTAATACTTGAAATTCAACTTTCTTTCATATTCATATATATCTCGAATTGGAAATGATCAATTGGAGGGTCTTCTAATAACGAAACAACCTTTTCCATGAGTTTTGAGTTGCATCTTACTTGTACAATATAAAATTTACAACTTATATAAACGTTTTTATATAAAATTTACAACTTATATATACGTCTTTGTGTTTTTTTTTTTGGGGTAGATGAGTGGAGAAGTCCTTGTATAAAGGTTTTCCATATACAACAAAACAAAAAGGGAACCTCTCAAAGTCAAGGAGTTGGCGTCCACGTTCTTGGAGACAAAAGACGAGAAAAGAAATCCAATCCCCGAGCCCCTCCTCGGAGCATTTTAACAGGCCGCCCCAAGATCAGTCACTCGTCCACTCATCCTATCTGCATATCCCTACCGTCCATCTCCCGCCTCCCTCGTGTTTATGAATCCTCGAAAGTCGTAACCGCTCTCTGCCCCGTCTCTCTTATCCAAATAACAAATAAACAAGTCCTAATCCAGGTGGTCATCTCGCTCTTTCTAGTAGATCCTTCCATCTCATACTCTCTAGGAAAAATCAAATCGATCCGGAACGTTTGATCGGATAAATCGGGTAAAACAACAAGCGCTCACAGGGGAGACTCAAAAAAACAGTATAAATTTCTGTAACTCGTCTCCTCTCTCTCTTAAAACAAAAAGGAATGGCGGTAGTAGAAGGCGTGAAGAAAGGAGGCGGAAAGTTGCTGGCGCCGCTCATAGCGGTGGCGCCCGTCGTAATAGTGGTGGCGCTTTGGATCGTCGAGCCCTTTGACACTTCGCCCATACCAGACTATGACCCCGAGATACGGCACGTGCGGGAGCAGAACCTGAGGGTGGCGAGGGACTTGGAGCGTGTGGCTGAGGGCTTGGTGATGGGGCCAGAGGACTTGGCGTACGATGCACAAGAGGGGGCCGTGTATGTGACCACCGCGGATGGGTGGGTAAAGAAGGTGGAAGGGGTTGCGTACGGTGGGGAGATCGCCGTGCGCAACCTTAGTTTCACCGGGGGAAGGCCACTTGGGGTGGCGCTCGGGCCGTCGAAGGAGGTGTTTGTTTGCGATGCTTACAAGGTTCGTCTCTCTCTCTCTCTCTCTCCAGATGCTTACCACCTCTCTCTTCACTCGGATCTCTTTTTTTGCCTTAGGGCTAGCAACGGCCCGGCCCTGAAAAATTACGGCATGAGCCAGCTGATGCCGCCAAAACAGGCCGGCCGATTGATTCAACCCGGCCTACCCTGGCCTTTATTTTTAGAGTAATTTACCTAGGGATCTTAAAATTTTAAGCACAATACAAAATGCTCCACTTATAAGTCCATCAATCTATTCTTTTAATTTTTCCAAAATTATCTATTGATGAACTTGAATTTTGATTTTTTTTTTTAGTTTTTTTTCCGTAAATAGGATAATGTCTTAATGCTTCGGCACTGCCCTACTAACTTAAAAAAACTAAAAAGAAAAATCAAAATTTGGGTTCCCCAAGAAGTATTCTTGAAAAAACAATAATATTAATAATAAGTTGACCGAGTTTTTTTATTTTTTATTTTCACCAATAATCCGAACATTTTGTGTTTTACCTCCGTACATAAATCACTCTTTTTTCTTGTTTTTTTTTTAACATTATTTTTATTTAAGATGGCCGGCCCTCACAGGAATAGGTCCAAGGCTTTGCGTGACATGCTGGGCTGCTTATTGATTGTAGTTTTTGTTTCCTTTCGAGAAATACTCATTTTATAAAAGACAAAAATACATTAAAAGGGACCCAAATTGCCCTCCAACAGTTTAAAATTTAGAGAAAACTTTTCAAAAGTCCCAATCTATGTGCCCGGGTACCTTTTTTTAATAGTTGCTCTCCTCTTGAGCCATATCTCTTTTTATTTCTAAAGGTTAAGTGATTGCTCTCTTCACATCTTCCAAATTATTGAGATGGCCCGCAGCGGGTCCCAAAAAGTTTGATGCGTTCTAATAAATCAAGATGCTTCTGTACTTAGGATATTTTTTTTTTTGTCATTAAATCACTCTCAGTTTTTTTTAGAAAATAACGGATTGCCCACCCAATAATTGCTGTCCTCCTCTAATAGAAAACATCACTATCGTCATTCGAGTTTTATCATAATTATTTGGTATCGGCCATATAAATTATGTTCTCTATCAATGGCCATAACATAGATTCAAAATTAATAATAAGATGTGGCAAAATTTTATGCTAGATATTTACCAAATGCAACTCACCTCTTTTATTCGGGCTTGAGATGTGTCAATGCAACTCACCTCCTCTATTCGGGCTTAGGATGGGTTAGGGCAAGTTTAAAGTTCTTAACCTTATTGGACCAAATCCAGCACAAAAAAACAAACAAGAAAAGAAAAAATAAATTATTGCTAATGTTAAAAGAAAACAACCATAAAAGAAAGCGAACATTTATAAAAGTACGCTCTAAGAGGGGCTTCAAGCCCGGATTGAACCCGTTTATGCTAGCCAACTAAATGTATTTTAGCTTAATTAATATAATATTTAATTTAGACAAATTTATCAAGATACATATGATTCATTTTACCCATATTTTTTAATCTAATTTCAAATATGCAGCATTCTTTTGATAAAATTTTAAATAGCTCATTAAATGACACATCAAGATGAATTTTGAAACTTATCAAAATACATTTTACTTCAATTGATAATAAGTGAAACTTGTTTTCATTATTGGCAAATCACTACACTTATAGGTGATACAAAGAGATATCAAATCCTATGATTGAAGGGATGTGATTAATATATAGGGAAAGTAGTGATCTCAAATCCTATGATTGAGGGTTGAGATCAGTATAAAAAAAAAAAGTAGTGATATCTTCTAATTCAAACCCATCCACATCTATACGTAAATTCAAAACTTTTTTCCACACCTGCACGTCAAACCCATTCAGCGTCCTCTACGTGAATTTTCTAATATAAATTGTTAAATAGTTCAAATATTAGGTGTATTTTGATAAATTTCTTTACTAGAACCTGATATGGTGTTGTGATCTGGACTAGTGATTCTTGATCCAGATCCGAGATTTTTCGAACAGTAGATCACTCCAATGTGGTATTAATTGTGATTTCAATTTATTTTTGTCGATAAGAAATGAACTGTAGGTTTTCATTCAATAATCTTTGTTGTTTACTATGTAAATTGAGAATTGTGAAGAAACTACTGAGTATGGGTTAATAATAGAAACTAAATTATAAATACCTAAACCATATCCAAATTTATAATTAAATACAGATACTCTATCAACCCTTCCCGTAAATATTAATTGCAATATATACTTTTTATATTAACCCTATACACAATATACGGATTCCTTTCACAAGAATATCTCTCTCCCTCCTTTGGCCCAACTATATTTTCTCTAACATTTGTGGTTAGGTTTCTCTCTATCTTTTGGCCCATCTCTATTGCTATCCAAAAGATATTCTTCTCAGGCTCAACTTGGCTATGTTAGATATGAGTATCATAAAATTGACCACCTTGACATTGAAATGTATGAATATAAAAAATAGAAATAAAAAAATTCAAAAAAAAAAAAAAAGGAAAGAAACTCCAAGCTTTTTAAATACAGCTCGTTCATATATTATTTAAGATGGGAAAATGAGATTTTAGGTGTATTAAGTACTTTCTTATAAGATTTCAAAGAAGGGAAAACTTTCTAATCTCTTCTAGCTATATGATCTGAATGATGGCTGAGATGGTCTCAAACACATTTCACACCTAAATACTATTTGGTTTTTTAATTTTTATAAATCATGTCAACACCAAATTTGGGATATCCCATCCTCTCATAGGGTTGCATTGACGAAAAATATAAAAATACTCTTGATAAAAAAAAAAAACCAAAATATCTCTAAAACTTTTAAAGGCAGTTTGGTCATTTTATTTTAGAAAATATTTTTTATCTTTTTTAGGTGCGGCCAATAAGGTGATGAAAAATACTAAATTTCTTGTTAATATGATTATAGAAAAATTGAAAATAGAATATTATGTGCTGTAAGATCAAACGATCATAGCCTCACTTATGACAGTGTTGAAAACCTTACGATGAGTTGAAAATCTAAGTTCAACTCAAATTATGAAATTTAAATTCTCAAAAGCAATGAAGATCGAGCAGATTTATAATTACTTGCATATCTTGAAAATAGATGGTCAGATAACTTCTTACAAGATATACTACTTTTAGTACTTAAAATTCATTTTTTTCCTTTATATCGCATAGTTGAGAAGACTAATTGGAAGATTTTTCAACTTTGCAATACTCTTTTCTACTGGATTTTTGAGGTGCACCTTACCTTTTTTTTTACTTTTCCATTAAAGAGGACAAGTTCCTAAAATGTCAAGAGGTAAGTGTTATCTTTGGTGTGTTGTCCCATGTTAAAAAGCCATAAACATGCATATGCATATTAGAAAGGCTCTGAAAATGATTGAAAGATGAATAAAGGAACAAAATACTTGGCTTTCTTCAAAGGCTAAAGTGGATATACAAAGTGTTTATAGTAGTGGTTTAAAAAACAGATTGGTGCCCGGATAGGGTATCCCAAAAACCCATTGGACCGGTGAATCGGCGTTTCAGATTGGGAATCGAGTGGAATCGGTTATTTTTGTCTAAAAAAATCTTTAACAAATCACTATAAATATCTAAAAATAATGTTATTTTAATTTCTAAAAGAATTGAGGAGTGGTGCATTACGTATTTTCATTACTTTGTAAAAATAGGTGATTATTGAGATGTTGTTTTTCTATCTGGATGTCTGTATGATTAAAAAAAAATACATTAATAAATAAAATATACGACTTGTTTATCATTGTAATTAGTATAAACAAGGGTCTGACCCTCACAAATAAATAAATCTAATATATAACAATTAGTGTGCATAGAAATATAGAATTTACAAATATAAATTTACAATAATATTTTAATAAAATTAAAAGTGAATAAATAAATAAATTCATACTTGCAATGTGAGGTAACTAGTTACAAATACTTATATATTATAAGATTAAAAAAATTAATTTCCCACATAAATTAGTATCACATCAAAGTATGAAACATTTATTAATTTGTTTTACTTATCCAAAATTATTACAACCTAACTAACTATAATTATCAATGTGGGATAATTGATAAAGCAACTTGAAATAAATTCTAAAGTTGTATGAGTTAGTGTTATTTTTCTCTCTTAAAATATTCTCTAAACTAATTTTTTTAATATCCAATAGACTAGAATTTGTATTATTTTTATTCTTTTTTTAATATCCTATTAGGTATTACGGATTTTTTAATCTTAATTAACTAATTAATTATTGACTGCTCATATAATGAAATAATGTCATGATATAATAGCTTAATAGAGTTTTTATGTTTTTCTGGTAAGTAAATTTAAATTTTTTTGGTGAAAGATAGGGGGTGATGGGCACCGAATTATTATTTTTAATAAAAAAAAATTTATTGTCTAATTTAATTGCCACCATCGGATGTACAACCTTTTTATTCATGATGGGCATATATGGTCCTGCATATACCATCTCACTGCAATTTATCCCAAGATAACAATATTTGTCGGGCTTCTTATTCATGACGAGCTGGTTTTTCAACTCACATAAATGATGTGGGAAGAAATAGTACTATAAAAAAACTCAACCATCCTAATCATTCGATTGTTGTCCAACATCCTAAAATTATGGGGTTGCACTTTATACACGCGCATGTGGGGGTTGGTCCACGTTGACCCATGCTGACATTGGCAGGGTACAATCTGATGCAACAAGCTTATCTAGGCAGATTTTGAGTCTTTAAGTATAATGATTTGAACGGTTCACTGTACAGATGAAAGAAAGACCTATGTGATCTTTTGCTAGAAAATACAATTTTTTTTTAATAATAATCACCCCTTATAATTTTGGCAACAAGATCACTCACAGATGGTCTTATTACAAACAATATAAATTCTAAAAAAATAAATAGCACATCAATAAAATAAATCTCAACTGCTTGATGTCATTCATACAACCTAATATTGTGCTTAAGAATATAAAAAAGAA